ATTTATTTATTTTATAAATGCCATCTGAAGCCTTGAATTTATAGAAAATAGGTTGTGGAGTGGCTCAGGAAGCAGATGATGGAGTATATTCTTTTTTCTAAGTACATCTCCTTTGTACCCAGGCATTTATGTACTCTCACTAGGAAGAGATTTATTCAGCAGTGTGACATTTATAAAAGACTTTCACTCTTTTTTGACTATGTTAGTTCTTTTCTTTTCCATAGGAAACAGACAATGGTTGAATGGGAAGCAGTAATTGAAAGTACAGCAAAGATGATTGTATTGCTAATAAAATGTCTTGAGAATCATACAACACTGGGAAAGCTGCTCGGAGAGTAGCTGCATCCCCTGTGATGACTGATCAGTGCCTGGAGCATCCAAATGCAGAAAGCTGATGCTTTGAAATACACAGGTGCAACTTCCCAGCCCAGATGGCAGCGCTGGTGTTGGAGCAGAACTCTAATCTCTCAAGTACTCCAGCGAGCTGAGCTGCCAAGGCAATAGTTTTCTTCCATTATCTTGTTCCTCGGTTAAACCTGACTTGAAAGACAAAACAAACCATTTAAGACAACACTGTTGGAAAAGCTGAGGTGTTAACAGTCACCTAGAGCCTTCCACATGCAGTTGGCCTCTGAAATCATATCTGTTGTTCTCATTTTTATGACACACTTTACGAATGACTGTTGTTATAGGGATCAGCTTCGCTGAGAAATGCCTGCCATGCTAATATTTGTTCTGTGATGGATAGCAAAGGCTAAATATAGCCTTCCCTTTTCTTTGCATTTTTAGATGGCAGAGTTGAATTTTTTTCTTAGTACAGCCAGGGTAAGGCTGCTCTGAGCCTCCCCTTGCGCTAAATTGCCTTCGGAGAGGGAGGAGGAGTTGGAAGCATCAGTGAGAGGGTCAGGCTGCACATCCAGGATCTGAAAGCTGAACCCTGCAATGAGAGGGGTTTTTCCTGTATTGTTGTGTTGCATTTGTGCGGTTGATCATTTTGCTGTAAGTGTTCCCTTCAGGAAGAGATCTTTTGTTTTTTTTCTGTTGAATCATTCTGCTGTTGTATCCTTTTGTTAGGTTACCCATGCACGCCATGCACACACACACCCCCACGTGTGCCAGCAACAGTGAAAGGGCCAGTGCAGGTCGGGTCCCTTACTGGAGCAGGAAGATCCCCCGCACTGCCAAGTGCTGCCCTGTCCCCAGCAGAGGCGGGAGCGAAGCTTTCAGGGTGCACTGGATGCTATAGGGGTGTGTGGGAATTAGCAATAATTCTTCCCTGTCTCCTGGATTGCTCTCCTTCCTCCCCAGCTCCTGTGGTGGTGATGCAGGACTGCTGGCAGCTGCAGAAGCTGGTGAGCCAGTCTGAGCACATCCCCTCCTTGTGTAGGAGGGAGCAGGCATCGAGGCAGGATAGCCTGGGGCTAGGAATAGCCAGGAAAGGAACTCTCCTAACACAGGCATCTTGGCAGTGATGGCATCTCCTCGTACTTTACAATGCTGTTAATGAATATTAAATTAATAATTTATTGAAATTAATGCGTTTAAACATAATTATGAAAATTTATTGAAAAGAAGGTAGCAAAATTCAAGGCACTCAGCTCTTTCACTTCCAGGCTCTTCTGTGCACAATGCATGTTTAACCATGAAGTAATATCATGCTTAATTCTGAGTAGATCAGGTTGCCCCAAAATTCCAGTTTTCTTCTCTAGGGACCTTCTAGAAATAGTTTCTTGGCAAAGAGCTGCCACGGTTGCTGTGTGTCTGGGCTCTGTAGGGCTGAACCCTGGGAAGGGAAACTGTGGAGATGAGTCAAGCGGATAAGGAATAGCGGTCACTTGGCTGGGGCTATTCATATGTCAAAACTCTAATTTTGACCCTAACCCTGAGCTGAGCCCCAGCCCAGGATCTCAGCCATGTCCCCAGGTTGAGCAGTGCTGTGGGTTGAGTCACTGGCAGCCCTGGAGCTGCTTTTGCAGCCTCTGGAGCCCCACTGCCTGCCCAGCCGAGTGCTCCCACCTTTTGAGCTCAGCCCTGCAGGGGCTTGGCTGAGTTTAGCTGAGTGGCATCTCAGCAGGCACAGCGTGCTGCCCTTGCTACCTCTGTCCACCCTTGCTGCAGGACAGGAGCTGTAGGACCTTAGTGAGGTGACCTCAGCAAAGGTCTGCGAGAGATGGGCACCCCCATCTCAGCTGGCAGACCTGCCCTTGCTTAACACCAGATCTACATCAGTGAAGTCAAACATGCTTTGTTTCCCCCTCAGTCTTCACTTGTCATCTTCTCATGGAAACCCTCCTACACGTGCAAGCTTTCTCCACACTTGGAGTTCACTGGAGGATTAGTTTCCCATTTCTCTCTGTGCTGCAGACCTGACTCTCAGACTCTCTACACTCACACCATCCTCCCTCCCTGCTAATGATACAGGTAACCAGCTGACTAATCCTTCTCCCTGGTGCCTCACCCTCTGAGTGATTTTAATAATAAAAGGGAATAAAAGTGGTTGCTGTGTGGATGCATCTGTCAGCCCCAGCCTTGGGCACCACCTGAGGAAAGGCTTTCTCCTCAGTCTGTATCTGTGCTGTGTTACACACTGGGGAGACTGATAGGAATGTAATATGTATATCAGTGTATTTTAATCAGTAACAAGAACTACTCTCCCTATTCCCATGACTTTCTTATTTCCTTCTTAGGAAGGCTATGTTGCACTTGTTACTTTCTGTTATACCGTGATAGTTAGTAAAAGATTTTATGCCAAATTTATGCTCAGTGAATTATCCCTGAAACTTGCAGAGCTATAGCAGAATTTAATTTGGCAGTGTGGAGTTGATGTTGCTCCCAGTGATGTCTTCAGCTGAAAATCTCAGCTTTCAATTGCCTTACTTAGAGAAAAAATAGGCCCATGTCTCTAGTCTTTCTCAGAAGGAGTGCCAGAGGCACTGCCATGGCAGAGAGACTCCGCTGCTGCTGTATGTGAAGAAGTGTGGCAGCAATCTGTGCCAGAGGCATTTAGGAAATCTACCCCTGAAGGCAAAGTTTTCTGAAAGGTGAGGAGTATTTTAACAAATGCATTAACGTCTATGGCATGTTCAGTACCTTTGATTTCCTTTTTAATGTCTTGTGTTGGAGTAATTCAGAGGTGATGTGCAGCATCCTCCTGATACTGGGGGCAGAAGAGGCAGTTTGAATGAAAGCTTAATAGAAATTCAGTGTGCTGTCATGCTGAGCACGGAATTGGTTGACTGCATAAATCTAAATGTCAAATATCTGTAAAGTTTTACCAAATGGAAATACGATGTTTTAGTTCCATGTTGTCAACACATGAAAAGAAGCATATTAATTGTCAAGGAGTAAACTCTGTATAAGTTCTTTTTTAAAAAAAATTAGAAATATTCAAAGTAGAACCAAGATATCACCAAGAGGAAAATGTCAATTATTGATTATTTTGAGAGCCAAACATCATTTAGGCATTTATAGGGATTATCTAAAAACTGAGAGGCATTGAGAAGTTTCTATGGCAGCCCCAAGTCCCAATACATTTGGTAGAGCACTGCTGAACAGCAAAATATAGGTTAGTGAGCAATCTGGAAATTATATTTTATTGAGTGGTGTGGATTGTTACTTTGGTTGATTTTATTTTTATCCTGTAAGGAAATTAAAGCTCAAGCACTTCCAAAGTTGGTTATATTTCTAGAGATCATCTTTGTGTGCCAGCTTTTGCCTAGAAACTCATCCGAAGATGTCAGCCATTGAAACCATCTCATGTGGAAGCATTGCTAAGTAAATTCACTAAATGCCTATTCATCCCAGTAAGATGGAGAGTCACTGGAGCAGCAAATGTGAAAATCTGTACAGCTTACTATACAGAAAGCAGTTTTCTGAGGTTGCCAAATTGAGATGCAGAGTCTGACCCTGGGAGGTGTTACAGCTCACATGAGTGAGCGTAGGAGGAGGGTCTCAGGCTCCTACAGCCTGCTCTGTCAGGCTGGTTGATAGACAGATAATTCATTTAGTCTAGATAAAATCAGTGAGATTATGAAAATAGTTTACTTGGCTGATAAGATTTTCAAGTTGTTGCAGCCTGACCTGAGAAGTTAAATGCATTTTGTACAGGATTTTGGTTTAACTTGGTTTTCTGTGCCTTATAATAATGAAATGTTTTCAAGATACAGTACTATTGACAGCTGTTTTATCTTGAGTTTTCTGCCATCAGCTTCATTACAGACCATTGCTTCAATGGTGTTGTATCTATAAAGTTGTGGTTTTGAATGCAACTCAGGAGATTAAGATCATTTTAATGTGATTTATTCGTTTTTCCTAAATATGCTGACCTAGATAAATAGAGAACATTTTTGCTCCATTGTTAAAGAAATAACAGACCACAAAAGCTGTCAAGCATAAATACAGTCTTGGACATGTCAGCTGAAATTTTGAAAATACTGGTGTCAGATTGCCTGTCACACTAATTGGAATTAACCTTCTAAATTCCTTTGTTCCTGTTAATTCTATTGGCATCTTGACATCAAAATTCTCTGCTTTATGCATTCCAGCCTTGGCCTCTTCTCTATTACAAGGATGAAAACAAATAAAATGCCAATAGATACTTAACTAAATTCCCCAGGAAATATCTAGCAAAGCATGTAAAATGGGACTATCAATGCAGTCATCTCACAGCTGGACTTTCATACTTAAAAAGCGTTGAGTAGTATTACTTAATACTTACTCTGTTACAGTGCTTAAAATACCTGCCAAAAGTTGGTAAGAAATTCGTTAAGATGTAATTAAGTTGTGGTTCCTTCCAAGTACATTTTACTGAGTAGAAGGAGCAGCAGGATGGAAGTTTTAGCAGGTTTTAGCAAGTTTAGCAGCAGGATGGAAGCTTTTTCAGAAACCACCTCCTTCAGTCTGCGGATGGTCCCCAGATGAGAACAATAAGTCTATAAATCGTTCTAGACATAGGAGTTTTCACAGTGTAATTTGTGCATCCTTTGTTCTTTCTCTTGCAGGACAAATGACCATCTTGTAGCATTCCTGTCCAGATACCGGGATATGAACTTCTTGAAATCCCATGGGAGGGACAACGCAAGGTACGCTGGCCCTTCCTTCACCTTATTTTAACCATGGCACTGAGGATTTTTGCACAGTGATGGTTTTCCAGTGTTTACCTGAGTGAAGAAATCTCTAGTCAAAGCGAATGAGGAGGAAACCCTCTTCTGAGGACAGTTGTTTATTGGTCCAGAATGACTCCTTCCCAGAGTCAGTTTGCAAAGATGCTTTCGTGGAGAGAGAGACATTCAGCAGAGTGATGCTTGTTCTGTCCTTGGGGCTTGGCACAGATCGATGTTTTGTGAGCTAGCAGTCATTGCCTGCACAGCAGCACTGCCCAGTTGGTCCCAGCCACCCTGGTGACCAAGACCTGTGCTAGATGGGGTCTGCAGCAAAGCCTTGTGCAAGCAGAGCCCCAGCTGTGGGAGCCTGTAGCAGCCTGCACATACGAGTGAGAGTGAGGATGGTGGCTGGAGTGTATCACACTACTAAAATTTTGAGGTCCTTGATGTAAACTCCATCCAGCTATGAACAGGTCTCAGAGAGAACAGAATGTGCTGCGTTTTCCTACTTACCATTGTGGTTTGAGGGAGCAGCAGTGACCAAACACCATGTTCCAAAGATTTAACCAACCTGTGCAGATCAAAGAATTTTCCCATCTGACTGCAGTGGTCCTGTTTTCCTATTTATTGATAGTTTTGCTTTTCCTCTTTATTTGCTATTCCTCTTATAGTTTTGTACCTGTGCTAGCAGTCTTGTAACAGTTCTAGCAACTACATATGCTGAGTCCCAGTGGCTTTGCATCTAAAAATATTGTTTTATTCTGCTTGGGTCACCAGGTCATCCCTTTATTCTATAAAATGTCAAGTGTGCTGTAAGGCTGGGTTTGGTTAGAGTACACAGAGAATGTGACACACCAAGTCTCATGTTCAGCACAGTGGGTGGGCAGAATAACGCACAGGTTATAACAGCCACTTCTTGGCTGTTCTTGCTCTTGTCACCAGATTTATCAGTTCTGTCATGTTCCTGTTTAAATTAAGTCTTCACGAGCATTCGTCTTGTGCAGTCAGAAATTCTATAGCAGGTAGTAAAAAATAATACTGTGAGGAATAATATTTAAATCCAAGTCAACAGTTTTCACAGGAGAGTCCCTCGTTTGGGAAATGCAGAGTGTCAGAGTGATTGGCAGACTCAGCTCTAGCTGGCAATAGTGATCGACAGCACAGTTAGCGTAGAAAGGGGGAGAGAAAGAGCCAGGGAAAAGCAGTCGGGCTCTGCCTCCTTGCTCCTCTGGTGCACCTGAGTCTTCTCAAATTCCCTGACCTAGCTAAGGAAAATAGCTAATGAATTATGACGTGCCAGCATCAAACTGGTTTAAATATGCTAACTTCAGCTGGATCAGAACTATTTAGATCAATTAAACACACTAATCTGATACTATTTTAATAATGGAGTGAGCTAATGTGCCACTTTCCTCCCCTCACAGGAATAACAACCCACTTAGTAGTTCAATGGTTCTCTTTGTATAAACAGCTAAATACCTCTAAACCTATTGCAACAAGTCACCATGTTTTTTTTGTTCTTCTGGATTTCTACCATAAATTCCCTGTGCATCAGGGAACACGATTTGCGACACAACTGCAGATTTGCCGACCCTGTCTGCTATGGTTGTCTAGTCCCTGAGTCCCCTAAGCACTCCCACTTCTGACCACTGGATGAATAGATCCTTTCACATCACCCCTTGGCATCTCCCCAGTTTTTCTGTCAGAGAGATAGAGTGGCTCCCCTCCTCCTGCAAATCCCAGACAGCTGTAGAGACACACTCAAGCCAGCAACTGTGAATCTTCTGAGTAATGCTGGAGTTTGGTAAAAATTCATTCCATTGTTTCCAAAAGCTGATCAATAAACAGTTACCCCCTGTTTGTATTGCGGGTGTATTTCCAGCTCTACATCTACCTGTTGAAAGAGAAATTCTATCTAAAGTGAAGATCTTTAGCCTGATATTTCATTTTTAGTGTTTCATTAACTTAGTCTTGTCTAATCTGGTGAGTGTACCCTCTGCTCTATCCGTTTGACACACAGTTCCCAATTGACTTTGATTGTATGCTCAAGGTGTGTAAGCTGTTGTCATTCCAGTGAGGGTTATCCCTGTAGTTGGAATGATGAAGTCCTCTGGGCTGAAATACCTGCACAGGCAGGTGCAAGGAGAGCAAAGGCCCATCCAGGCTGTCATCCCATGTCTGTCTGCCTACAGCCCATGTCCCCAGAGGAGCAGGAGGGATGGGTAGTGGTGCTGCCTTACAATATTCTCCCACCCTCTTGTGACCTTTGCCTGGGGAATTTCCACAGCCAAACTTGGTAACTTGCTCATTTAAGAGTAAGGGATGACTATTTTTTTCTATTCATTTTTCCAGTTGCTTTTTAAATTTTGCTCTTTGCTCAATCATCTCACAGCCCAGGGGAAAAGAAATACCCCATGAGGCGAATGATAAGGCCAAGAGCTCAGTAAGGTCTAGAAGAGAAGCAACAGCCTCGAGGTTTGGCAACAAAAAAATAATGAAAAAAAAAGGCCAGCTTTTGGAAAGGATTTAGAATACAGACCAGTTTTCATGTTATTAGGCAACAGGAAAAAACTCCTTTGGGATATCCTATCTCAAAACAGATTGGAACAGAATTTTTTATTTAAACCAGCTAATTAAAGCCATGATGGGGAGACGGCACTGGACTATACTGACTGCTCCCCCATGTACAATAATGATTTGGCTTGTCCAAGGTGTTTTTGTCAAAACATGTCAACTAATAATACAGGAGCTCAGCATCTAAATATCGTTGAAAGCAATGTATAGTCCCTGCTGGTAATTTTAATTTTAATTTGTGAATGAATAATGGTTCCTAAGCAATAAGCTTTTCAATTGTCTAAGTCTGCTTTTTAAACAACTGGAAACTCTGAGTTTTAAGTCATCATAGTCTTTGGATCATATAATGGAGGGAGAAAGATTAGGAGTGCCATCTTAAAACTGAAATGCTTATACAGCTTGATTACAATGTACTTTGTATTCAAGCTGTGTTCACAATCAGTACATGTTTTACTGCCAAATAAGGAGAAAAACCAGGCTCCCCTTTACAGAGTGAAGTTTTTTAGTTATGCCAAAGTCATTAAGAAGTGCATCGCTCTGATTTTCCTTTAGTGGCTTCAGTAAAGGGAATGGACATGAAAATGGCTCCTACACTCAGCTGGAGAAGTGTTATTTCCTGAGAGAGGTGGATGTATGAAATGAAATTGCATACAGTGGCTGGAGTTGTTACATAGTACTTACTGGGCAACACTTACATTTTCTCCTCTTTTCAGTGTCTCAGACTATTAAGAGCAAGTGAATAACCTGTTTGGTTTTGGGGTTTTTTTGTGGTTGTTTTTTTTTTGCTAGGAGATTTTATTTTTTTTTTGTAGGAGCAGCACCTGGCTGATGTATTATAAAATATAAAGACAGTCAAATGTGACATCTTCAATGACAGGCAGGAAAAAAGGTTTTCTTAGAGAAATCTTGCCACAGTAATCATTTGGGAAACAGTGTAAACATGCTGTGAAGGCTAGATGCTGTTAGATATTAGAGGAATCTTGAGCTCATAGGCAAAAAAAAATACAAACAGCTAAAGAAAAGGCCATTAAAAGCTTGGTATGTATCTGAGTTCTTTTCTTGTGCTGTTTTTTTCTCTTCATTAATGCTGTTCTTTGCAGTTGTGTTGTCCCCTTTCTCACTCTTGGGTTCCAGATAGTTTTAGAGGTATTGATGAACTCTACTAAGGAGCATCACAATCCCATCATCTTTTGGAGAGACCTTAAATACCGAAGAGCCGGACCACTTTCCCAAACTCTCCACCTCTTTCAGCCCAGTTCTGCTGATAAATACCTGTTTCAACACCCATTCAGACATGCCTTTTTTCCCCAGTGGCACATGCTGTTTGTTGGTGTTCTGCACGCTGGGTTGATGGTGGTTTGGTGGTTGGTTAGAAAATGGATCACACAGTAAATGCTGTTGTGTACTGCATTGATGAATTGCCCTGTAAGTACCCAAATACTTGGGAAAAAAATTGATTAACTATCCCTAGTGTTGGAATGGTTTAACCACTTAGGTTCTAGCAGCATATATGTTGCGGCTCATGTGAAATATTTGGTGGTTCGTTTGGCATTACTCTCAGCCATACTTTTTTTGCTAATTTTTATAAAACACTTTGAGCACATGGACTAAGATCTATTTTTTGCTTGGAAGTAGTTCAGCCCAACAGTTGCATAAGAAATGTAGCGACTGAAATAGCAACATGCATCTTCTCTGCAAAGAGGCTGCACTTAAAAAATTTAGGCATTACAGCTAACTTTCAAATGTTCTTTAGTGCTTTATGCTAAGCATTAGGGGAGCCATAAAGCCTTTACTGCTTCGGCTTGACAATTTGCCTCCTTGTAGGCCTTTTACTTCCACTCAGTTTTGGAAAACAGTGCTCTAGGTTGTCAGTGCAAAGAAAAACAAAACCAGCCACATGTCTTGACGTGGGACTAAGCAAGATGTACTTTGTTCTTAGAGTATACAAGCAAGATCATCCACTGGTTCAGGAAGGTGCAATAAATGAGAAGGTTTGAAGTGGCCATGCTTTATGGGGCTGGAACAGAATTAGGAAGAAGGTGAAAAGTGAGGTACTGGTAATCAGAAATCTTATTGCTATCTAGGAACATTGAGCTGCACAGTTCATTTTCAGCTGTATGAATGGTAACTTTTGTACCCTGTCATCTGAGGTCCTGAGACTTCATAAAATGGTTATGGCAGGGAACATCCTTTTAGGCTGGAACAGATGTTGTTGGCCCTGATGTACCCACAGGTCAGTAGCCTGATTTGGTAGCTTGAAATCTGTATAGAAGTGACTCCCACTTGCCCTCAGCCACTTGGAAAGCTGGAATGTTTGAAACCTCATTTCCTTTTCCTTCTCCAATGTCCAGGATGCAGATCCTGAGACGTTAAGCACAGTAGAACCCTCGGTGAGACGCTGTTGT